GTTGGCAGTATTGTGTGAACTTTCGGTGACATGCATGTATGCAATTGGAGTTGAAATGACGTCAGATCATTGCATGAATTAGGAAATGTACAAAGAAAAAGGCCCCACAGACGAGCTCATAGCAATCGTCTACCGATAATGAGGATGAGGCATCAAAAAAGAGTTTGATCCGTGACATGCATGTATACAATTGGGCCCCACAGAGGAGCTCATTACAATTCATTACAGATAACGACGATGAGGCATCAAAAAAGAGTTCGATCCAGGCAGCTGTTACTCACCGCTTGCCCAAAAGCTGTACAAACTTCTCTTCCTATTGCCTTTTCAGCCGGTGTCAAAAGAACAGGGTAGCGTATCTGCCACAGCCAGAGAATTTTGTCTGAGCATAATGCTGAAGTGCCTAACACTGAAAAGAGCACATTCACAACAGGACTTTGTTGGCTGTAACTGACCTCAAGTGCATCCAGACAAGTCGCAGGTATGACAACGGGATGCAATCACAAGCACCACGAGCTCTTTTGACCAGCATTCATATAGCGACCAGACTACTTGCAGATATGGCAACGTGTAATGAACCCAGATTGGAAGATACTCATCAGACGTCGAAGTACAAGTAATCTCAGATCTGAACAATGTCTCCAGTTAACGTGAAAGTGATATCTGAAACAATATCTCGTTACCAATAGACAAAGAGAATGGAGGGGGAATAGACAGAGGAAAGGGTGGAACAGAAATCACAACCAATTCCCACTCCTTCTCCGGGCTCCCTCTCCTTCCACGTCACCAATCAAGAAACAGTAACAAGTCTGATAAGTCCTGATCACTTAGAAGTGCCACGTGGCACTATTCTCCCATGGAGACAATGAAGACAACCAGCAGCGTGCAATATCGACGTCAGCTTCAGGTAAGTACCCTGTCCTTCAATCATCCACAGATTCCGATCTCCCTCCTTATCGCAACCAGTCACCTCATGTAGACAGTGTGGCCAGTGCCTCGTCAGCAGAAGAGACAGGTGGCATGCGCCACATCATCAATGAAGACAGGTGGCAGCTCCACATCAGCAATGCAATGTAGACAGGTGGCAGCGCCACATCAATAATGTAGACAAGTGGCATGCACCACATCAGCAATGTAGACAAGTGGCATGCGCCACATCAACAGTGTAGATAGGGGGCATGCGCGACATCAGCGAGGTAGACAGGTGGCAGCGCCACATCAGCAATGCCTGGCGCACAGAACAGAAAGCGCCAGCATTCTGCCACAGTCCCTCGTCATCATCCACAGTGCCTGCGCACAGCCAGCGTCGAGCCAGAGTCGAGCCAGCGTCGAGCCAGCATCGAGCCAGCGTCGAGCCAGCGTCGAGCCAGCGTCAATGCCAGCGTCCAGCCAGAGTCAAGCCAACGCCAAAGCAGCGTAGCAAGACTGAATGTTGACCTCCTCGAGACCCAGCCTTAAGTAGTGTTTGACGAGGCTTTCGGGCCTCAGGTCTCCTTCCCACAGTCGTACAGATTGACTTACAGCCGAGGGCCTGTACGGTTGCAGACTTCCCTTGGTCCTGATGCTGTCTGTGTACCTGTGTTATGATTCTGGTTGTTTGTTGTCTGAGACCAACACCCGCACACATAGACTTCCAGGTATGCCCATACATACACAGAAGGAAGGGGAGAGAATAGGAGTATCACACCGCACAGGAAGAGATAAACACAGCGGAAGACTTGACCATGCGATATGACAGGGTACACTGAAAGTGCAATTCACTCCACTCAATCCACACAACCAGTCATAACGAAAAGCCAAGTAGATCACATCCAGGAAACAATGAAAACAATGAAACGATGATAGTCCAAACCCAGTATTACACTGTTTATTAAACTCGGAGTCTCAGATTGTCGGATAACTTCAGACCCACAGTGCACTGCTCAGAAATGAGCAGCGCTTCACTCCCCAACCCTGAGTAACCACCCGTAACACCCCTGAGCCCCTGAAACATCAAGCGCCACCCAGATACAGCCTCCAAAGGGAAGCGCCACCCTGAAACAGGCCTCTGAGGCCAAGCGCCACTCAGAGGATGAAGAAGAAGACCAGCACCACAGTATCTGATGATGACGAAGTGTCGGAAGACTTCCCGGATGGAAGTCTGCAGCAGCGCACCCAAGTCCTGACAATATGACCTCTGAGGAAGCAGCACCACAACCCTGGAACCCCACTCCGGAGGAGGGTCCAGCAGGGCACCAACTTCTCCCGCCTCCAGCAGACCTCGATAACCCAGACCTCTGACAACCCCGCGTGCTGGCAGAGTACAGCGCAGGTCCCAGCTATGGCCGGCGCTCCGAAGGTCTGGCTATGTCTGTCTCCCACAACGCTCAGCCGTCACCACTTCCGGTTCACGCGTAGTGCAGCAGCGACGTACTGGGTACCAACTGCCAAAAGCCCTGAACCGATGTGCCCATCCTATCTATAGTCAACTCTAGCCTAGACTCAACCTAGACCGGACTGACTGACCGACCGGTACTGTTTCTGTTTCGGCCTCTAGGGCCTCTCCCAACCCGGCTATGGGCTATAGGACCGTCTATCAGCTTAGGCCCTTTGGGCCTGTCTGTCCTAGAGGTAGCCCGGGCCTGCTATTTGCAGTTAGGATGGCTGTAGGGAATTCTGTTAGTACGGGCCTATATTTTCCCGAATTTACACATATGTCCCTCACGAATTTACTTACAGGCAGGTCTCTCGGATAGCCCTCAGCCAAACAAAATTATGAATCTAACCTAAGACGCGACCCGACCGAGGCAAGCCCCAAGCTTCACCCTCGGCCCAATGTACAGTCCACTGAGAATCTGCAGGCTTCATTACACCTGCACACAAACAAGTGTGTGCGTCTGACCGGCGGCCTGGGCTGGGTACGCTTTGACTTTGACTGTTGGGGTCTGACAGTTGACTTTAGTCAACTGTCACTCACCCAGGCCCTGAATCTCTATGTGGGGTTCTTTTCCCCCTTCGGCTTGGGTCTGAGTGCGCCCTGGCAAGGCCCTCAGACTTTCCACGAGGCATACTGTATGGGTTATTGCAAGCGTAATCATCACAACTGCACAGAAATAGATAATGGTGATGATGAAGAGCTTTCTCCTTGCCTTCCAACGGCCAAGACAACAACATCCATAACAGTTCCCAGCCCCCGCCGGTCTCCCTACCTTCCCCCGAACAGGACGTATGGTCATTATAGGCTTATAGCTGTATTTGGGGCAACGTCCAGTCTACACACAGCGTTTATGACTGAAGACAGTAGCAGCAGGTATAACCCCCTGCTCTACCATCTACAGCACCCTACAGTACACTACAGTACCGTGCCACAGAGTCTCGTGCTGCTCCCATTAATGCCTGCTCAAAGAGCATATCGCGCTGGACCTCTTATTCACGTCCACCAGGTAATCCCTCGCTGATTCCTCCCTACCACCTTCCCCTTCTCCAAAGAATCTCCACTTCTAGCACCATCTTCCTTACACACAACAGCGCCCTACAGCTATGGCTCTGGTCTTCTTCCTCAGTCCAGCTATGGCTAACGCTAACTTGATGCAATATACTCCCCTCTCGTGGATTGTGGCGTTGACCTAGTGCTCGTGCTCATGCAGCCTGGCAGCATCCTGCGTCAAAATGCCCTGTCCTGCCTTTCAGAAGTCTCCCAGCTTTGGCCGTGCCCTGCCAGGTCTCAGGCAGCCCGGTAGGGGACCCTGTCTGGGCCTGACCGCCCAGCACTTCTGGCCTGGCTTCACGGCCTACTGGCCTTCTGCTGCCTGCTCAGAGGCTCACAGTAGCAAAAATGCAATAGCATTATGGCAAGGAATTTGCACAAGGATCGACAGGGAGAAGAAAGGCCAAGGACGCAAAGCTGAGGGGAACGGAGAGAGTATGGTGACTACAGGTAATTGAAAATGACACACACATCCACACTAAGACAGAACAGATGCCAAACTGAAAGGCAGGAGAATAGGCTGTCAGCTGTGGCACAGAAAAACAAAGCATGGAAGGCCTTAGTCACACTTGTACTTTCCTCATGTATCTGACAGCAACCACATACAGAAGCGAGCATTTCAAGTAACAAATAAACAGAGGAGCGGAAAGCATATACTCAATTGTCATTCATGACATATCTATCGAGTAGTATCAACAAAGCGTAATGGTGAACCAACCACAAAAAGAAACATGTGCCAAACAGAGAAAGAAACGGACACACTTTTTTCTTTTGGGGCACGAATAGCATTTCCCAATTGCACCAAGGGGCCTAGCTCAGTTGGTAGATCCATGACTGTTGAAATACAGACCACAGTTCGAATCCAGACGCAACCGGATGAACAGAGTAGAATAATTCTGAATTACCTGGGGCTGGTCAATTAAAAAAAAAAAGACATTTCCTAATCACTGCAACTACCGGCAGAAGAGTTCACTACATGAAACAAATAATGAAAGGAACATATCATATTATATCTGCAATTTGTCACATATCTATCAACAAAGAGCCCCATTGTGAAGGAGAAGAAGCAGGAGGAGGAGGAGGAAGAAGAAGATGAAGAATAATCACGCTTCGTGAAACAAGTAATGAGAGAACTCAGAGAAGCAAATAAATTTCTTATTTAGTTATTATATCGTCAAGTTGACACATATCTGCCAAACAGAGAAAAAAACAGACATATTTTGTTTTGGGGGGAAGAAGAAGAAGAAGAAGAAGAAGAAGAAGAAGAAGAAGAAGAACAGGAAAGGAGGGAAGAGGAGAACGGGCAGGGAGAAGGAAAGGAGGGAAGAGGAGAAAGGGCAGGGAGAAGGAAGGAGGGAGGGTGCCTCCAAACATGGCAGCAACTTACAGTGCCCCATAGACTCTCTGCAGAGCAACCTTAGGTGAACTTTGTAACAAGGGGGACGATAGGGTGAGTGGGGAGAAAAGGAGAGCAAGAGCAAGAACCTCCTTGCCATCAGGGCTCCGCTGCACCACCCCATCCAAAGCTGGTGATTTTCTGGCTTCTGCATGTGCGTAATCAGGTCCTACTGTGTACACCTGCAGTTAGCATCATAATTTTCAGTTGAGGCACACAGACGATCTGAGTAAGGTACTTATTTTTGCCCCCTCAGGACATCCAAAACCACAAGGATGCATTCATGATATTCAAATTATCCGTGTTCCCAAAATTTCACCGAAAACACCTGAGGAGGCACTGGCCCCAGCTGGGGCATGATAATTTCTCAATGAAATAGTGTCAGCGCGCCACTAGTTTTGGGGAACTGTCTTACCTGTGTATCCTGCTGCCCAGCTGATTTTCCTTACCATACCATGACCGAGGAAAAGTCGACCAGGATAAAGTGCCTTCCATTTCACAGCATGGATTTGGGTTTCAATGGACTAAGAATCGTACAGATCATACATGCGGCACATCGGCATGCGCTGCAGTGCGCACATGCGCCGCACCGCGCAGCGCGCATGATGCGCGCGCATGCCATGCGGCGCACAGGCAAATCGAGGGGTCCAAAAAAAAAAACGAAAGTTGGGGCGGGAGGTTGTATGCCCGGTAGGGACTTCGCGCCGCCGGCTACAAAAAAAAAAGATTTTTTTTTGAGGCCGCGAATGCCCCCGCAAAAAAAAAAGAGCGGGGAGATCCAAGCAGTTCATTTTTTGAACTGCTCGAACCTGCCCCACGTCGGCCCCCAGCCCGGCAGTCGACCTTGGTGCCCCGATGCCACGCAGTCCTTCACGGCCGCCGTGTCTCGTTGTCGCCGTCGTCTAGTACGCCTCTTCTCGTGTTCACTGCAACAGTAAGCAGCTCCCCACTTCATTGTTCAGCCACATCCCGTGCAGCTGCGAACAGCAGCACGAAGGAGCCAAGGGTCGCAGCACTGGGAGGAAGCGAAGGAAGCAGCGGCCATATCCAGGTGGGTTACCACCAGCCCCTCTCTCTCTCTCTCTCTCTCTCTCTCTCTCTCTCTCTCTCTCTCTCTC